TCGTCGTCGTTCCCCCTGCTGTGAGCAGCAGGGACGATAGACAGACAGAGCTTGCACGCAGAGTGACAACAGACTCGCTAGCCATGGCCGCACAGGTCGCGCTGGTGCTGGCGCTGCTTGTCGCCGGCGCCCGGGCCGGAGGCCTCGCCGTCGGCGGGGACGCCGCCGTGTCGGCGAGCCACGCCAACCAGGTCGGCGGCCACCTGATCCTGGCGGAGCCGCGGCCGGCCGGCGACCCCCGCTGCCCGCGCCCCTGCACCTGCTCCGGCCCCGCCGTGGACTGCTCCCGCCGCGGGCTGGCGCACGTCCCCACCAACCTGCCCACCAACATCGAGCGCCTGTGAGTAGATGATAACGCCCGGAATTTTCCTGGCAAATTGAAAACTTTTCCAGATAAAAATGTATTGAAAAACCGAACAACTACATATCGGGGGCCCAGGCAGGAAAGGGGTCAAGAGGTCTCGGGCTTGGCTGACCGGCGCAGTATCGTTCGGCAGGGGGACACTCAACCGGGCACGATTCACTCAGCGCAAAACAAATAGTTTTCTGGTCTGCACCGAGTTCCCTTTCTTTATCAAGAGGTGTATTCTTTATGTAACTGAAAGTGTTCTGAATGTATCAACACATTCTCCAGGCCAAGATTCTTCAAATTAATTTTTGGAAAATTAAAATCCCTCGTTCCGTACGGTCATTAAGGTGTCCCCGGGCCGTGTCTGACCGCACTGCGCGCCGCCGACTGCTGGAGTCGTGTCGTGATGAATGGTGGTACGGTCTGGACGGCGGCGGCGTCCCCTCGCGACACGGGACGGGACGCAGCGCTGGCTCGTTACCGAGCACGCCCCCTCCCACGCCCCGCCCCGCCCCGCCGCCGCCGCTGCTAAGGATGCTGGAGTGACATCTCCATCGGGGCGGCCCACAGCGGTCCGGCTGAACGGCGGTGACCTATGGCCCCTATGGCCGGTGACCGTCGCGGACCGCGAGGAGCCCCGGGGCCCTTTCGGGCCACGCGTTCAAGTCCCGGTCGCGTTCGGTCGCGTTTTGTTGAATAAATCGCCGACTCGTCTCCTCCGTAATGTGGGGGCGCACTCATGCACGCTAGAGGTGAGCAGCAGCAGTGTGGTGCGGTCCGTCTTTCTCTCTCGCACTCCCTGGTGCGTTGGTGCGTTGGTGCGTGGCCGCCGCCGCCGCTGCCACTGCTGTCCACTTGAGCGTCATCTCCCGGCCCGTTGTCTGCCAATCCTCGGTCAATTCACCGCACCGCGGATCTGTCTGTCCGGCCCACCGGCTCTCGTCCGCTCTGCCCAAGGCTGCCCCCCAAAGGCTTCTTCGTCTCTGCAGTCGTCTGGACAGCGCGGACAGCGGGCAGACTCCCATGACTGGACAGCAGCGGTGCCTCTGCTGCTTCCCGCTTGGGAGGTCTGTGAACTTGCGTGCAGCAGCGCAAGCAGGCGCGGCGCAGAGTTGTAGAGGGGCCCAGGGGAAGGGGGGGGGGGCTCTGGCCGGCTAAGGCAGCGCTCGGCCCGGCTATGGCGGCTAAGCAGTCGGGCCCGCTGGAGTCCGGTGCAATTCAAGCAATATGGCAGTCTCGTCCCGTCCAGTACGGGCGCGGCGGGGCGGGGCGGGGTGTGGCTGGACCAAGCGGATGGAACACCCACGTTGGCGCGCGCGCACTGGATTGACCAACAAGGCGGGTTCACCCCGCCCGGCCCCGTGTAAGGCACTGTTGAGGCCCGTTCTGTTTGCGGGAACAACGTCTCTCAGGTGGGTCTCAACGCGAGCGTGGCGCACCGCACATGTGCTGACTGCCCCCCCCCCCTGTGTGCTCGTGATTGCTCGTACTTATACCTCCGGTCTCGGTTGCTATGGACTCGCCGCGCGCCGGGGACCTCCCAGCCCCCACCCGCTGCTCTCTATCGAGTCATGGTGCTGACCGTCGACGACGACGACGGCGTCCTCGCGCGGCTTTACGGCCCTAATCGTGCCCCACTTCGACTCACTCTGATGCCCCCCCTGGTCGCGGCCCCGCCGCTCCGCGTGACCTACTTGGGGGCCACGACGAAGACGACGTCCACGTCGCGCATCTCGCGTGTCCTCCAACGAACACACAATGTCGTCCTCAGGAATGGTCGCCGCGCGCGCGCTAAGCTCCGGGCCGCGTCGCTCGCCATGCTTCGAGGGTGCCCGGGGGCTGCCAGCAGTCGACGTGCGTGGGAGCCGCGGCGACGTTAGTGGTACACAGTCAGGAAATAAGGGGCAAAGACATAATGTGGTCACGCCCGCACGGACTAAATGGTAAAACGAGGCTAAAGCTCAGTTTTTGTTGAGACCAATTAACATCTATTTTAAAATCCATGCAAGATCCATGCTTTATTCAAACTCCATTGAAACTCCATTGAAACTCCATTGAAACTCCATTGAAACTCCATTAAAAACTTCATTGAAACTTCATTGAAACTTCATTGAAACTTCATTGAAACTTCATTGAAACTTCATTGAAACTTCATTGAAACTCCATTCAAACTCCATTCAAACTCCATTCAAACTTTGTTCAATATCCTTGAGCCGTTGCGCGTCCCGCGTTTAGCGGATTACACTATGACTGCAGTCCGAGCAGAGCTCAGTCCTGCATCCCCTAAACGGGCCTTACGGACGGCGTCTGCAGGATGCCCTGTCCAGGACGCCGTCCGCAGGATACCGTGTCCAGAACGCCGCCGCCGCACATAATCGGCGAGCGGAGTGCACCGCCACGCGCTTCCTTGACCGTGCCGTTGTCGCGGACCCCCCGTGACCTAATCGCAGCCCTGCCGCGTGCATTCCATCGCGGATCTCCCCTCCGCTCTCCTCTTCCCCCCTCCCCTCCCTCCCTGCCCTCCCCACAGTGGGACCGTGTCTGTTTTTTTTCGCACTGCTTCACTCTCGTGTTAGGTCTCTCCTCTCAACTATCTGGGCGAACGCTTTGAACAACCTCCTCCAATGATTTCTTCCAATGATTTCTTCCAATGACCTCCTCCAATGACCTCTTCCAATGACCTCTTCCAATGACCTCTTCCAATGACCTCTTCCAATGACCACCATCAATGACCACTATCAATGACCACCATCAATGACCACCATCAATGACCACCATCAATGACCACCATCAATGACCACCATCAATGACCACCATCAATGACCACCATCAATGACCACTATCAATGACCACTATCAATGACCACTATCAATGACCACTATCAATGACCACTATCAATGACCACTATCAATGACCACTATCAATGACCACTTTCAATGACCACTTTCAATGACCACTTTCAATGACCACTTTCAATGACCACTTTCAATGACCACTTTCAATGACCACTTTCAATGACCACTTTCAATGACCACTTTCAATGACCACTTTCAATGACCACTTTCAATGACCACTTTCAATGACCACTTTCAATGACCACTTTCAATAAACTCGTGCAATGAATTCGTGCAATGAATTCGTGCAATGAATTCGTTCATTTTCTTGAATCTTGAATGAATCTTGAATGAACTCATTGAGCGAACTGAAGAGTTTAAAGAAACCCTTTCAATGGATTCATTCATTCGGAGTTAACTCTTTGTGTGAAATTGGGTAGTGAAATTATTGAATGAACCAAATGAACTCTTCGGGTGATCTTGGTCGAGCTCTTGTGACGAACTCTTTGAATGAACTTATTGACTGAACTCCTTGAACGAACACTTTTAATGAACTGTTTAAATGAAGTCTTGGGACAACTTTAACTTTGCACTTCATAATTTGAGCACCTATTGCTTAAACATTCAAACAAAACTGACAGTCAATGTGGAAATGAACTTCGAATATTGAGTTTACGAAAATTTATGTGTTCTAAGAGTAAGCTTTGTTAACTTTGAGTCTGAGGTTCGACTTTTGTTTTTGACCGTTTCATGTTGAGAAGGGTAGGAGGGGTGACGGATGTCAATGCCCTGGCGGTGCTCCACTCGGGCTGTCTGAGGTTCTGGCCCTCGTCTCGACTGGCCTCCGAGCGACACGAGAATATGTAGTAATGCTCCTGATGAATAACTAGAGCCCAAAGCTGACCCGTTGGGAGGAGCGCGATATGTATGCACGATGAAAGTCACTCGGAGCTCTACGTTGTCGCTGTCCCTGCCGTTCTCTGCGTCTGACTCTGTCTGTCTCTGTCTGCATATTGCTCTCTCTCGCTCTCTCTCTCTCTCTCTCTCTCTTTCTCTCTCTCTTTCTCTCTCTCTCGCTTGCTTCTCTCGTATCCGCAGAAACAACCCCTCCCCCCCTCCATACAAGGGAAACGATCGGCAGCAGGACAGGAGGGAGCGAGCGGTGTTCTTACTTTTGGAAGTGAAAGAGAGCGTTAGAAATACAGAGACAGACAGAGAAGAGACGCGGGTGCCAGTCTGGGTTATGCGCGCTCAGGTGTCGCCATGTCCTAAAGGTATGGTACGAACCTTTTGTCCCTTTTTTGGCGCCGCATACTCCGCCCGCATCGCATGGACAGTGTGCGCGCACTGCTCTCTTTCTCGGATGGTCGTTGGCGGCGCGGGTCGGGTCGTTGGAGTCGTAGAAACGACGTCACCCTGGCATAGCGGAACGGCCAGGGCCCCGCCCCGCCCCGCCCCGCCGGAGCCGGAGTGGCGTTCGTTCACCCTGCGACGTACCTCATAAATTTGAGCCGCCCCCGGCCCGGCCGCCCAAAGCCACCCTTATGCGTATTGACTTACGGACGGTGCGGGGGAAAAAAATAAAAGCGTGTTCGTGGCGCGGATCCGCCCCCTGCTCTCTCTCTCTCTCTCTCTCTCTTGCTCGCTCTTATACTCTCACACACA